TATTATAATTTTCACTACTATAGGTATGTTGATCTAGTGTTATCTAACTTTCACGTCCTAAATAATATGATAAGTTTCTGACAAACTAATTTGGCATGTGCATGCAGCCTCTGAACTGGAGTTTCTGCCATCATGGTTTCAATATTTTGTCAAAGAGCTAGTAGCTGCTGCCTCTTTTTCGGAACATGAAGCTTTTGATCATTCTTTTCATTTTTTACACGGGTATGAACATCGGTTATGAACATTTGATGCTCAAAGACTCGATCCTTTTGTGTAATTTCATCATTTTGGATGTCGAGAATGCAAAATTTTGCTTTACATTTCGGTCCAATTTGGTAGATTCTACATTTTGAATCTTGATGTAGTTTGAGATTGCTTCCTTGCTTCTGCCAACTTGCTGATCTTAGTTGCGTCAATTAATTGTTTGATTTGTATTTTGAACCTATATTATATATGTTGTAGGGATTTAGAAAATGGAAAAAATTTATCCGTGTGTGGATTTCCATTATGCAGTCATGTTTTGGGAGAATTTGTAATAAAATGATGATATTGCTTCTTTTGTGAACGCATTTTGGTACTGAGCGTTTTTTATTGAAAATAAAACTTCATGTACTAACTGAAGGCTCAATAATGCAGAAATCTATGTTCGCTTGTTCTTCAATGTCTTTCTGAGATAATGGTGCCAACGTGAATAATGGCGGCTTGTTGTGTTATTTATTTTAGGTGAAAATGGATGATGAAGGTGCCATCTGGATTGGCTAGTCCTCTGCTTCATAACTCTTTTAGATTGTCCCTATATCCACATCGATTTCTTAGCATCACCTGAAAACTGGTTCTCTACAAACTATTTCTGATAATATATTAATTACAAGTTCAGAAAATAAACATTCACTTACATAGTTGGATGGAGGAGTTAATTTTGCCTCCATGTCAGAAGCAGAGCATTTACACAATTTCCTCAATTAATGTATTTGGATGATGTTTGCTTGTAGTATGATGACTTTTAAATTTGTGCTTATATATTCTCTATCTTTCGTGCATCAGGTCTTTTGGCTCTTCAATAAAAACCAGTTGCCCTCTTTTCTTAATGATGGAGTGATGGATCCAAAGATCCATAAACATTTTTTGTTGGTCCATGATAACCAAGATGACTTATCCCAATCATGATGATGGACATCCAATACTGCAGCATTGCCTTGTCTATGATAGAGGGATTGTATTTGTTGTGTTCATCCAGTGTTTGTTGTGTTCATCCAATGTGAGAAGTATCAAATTGGAACCACAGAACCTATGAAATTGTATATTGTTGAATGAAAATGATGTTTGTAGTTACAATGCATATGTTATTTGTGGGCTTATATGTTAAATTTTTTTCTGACAACATCCGAATAATGCTTACAGGATTTAGTATGACCTGCTATTTATGGGCATATATGTTAAATTGTATTTTTCAGAATTTGTTGTCAATTGTTTAAAAGCTAAGATAATGCCACAACTGATAATACACAGGAGAGAAAATGAGGCAGAAACTGATTAGAACTTTACATTGCCACATTTGATTACATTGCCCATAATAGGCCAAAACTGATTACAAAAAGAGGCAGAAACTGATTACATTGTGCTTACTAGGCCTAAGTGCATCAACAATGCACAACAACATTTAACTAACTGCAAAAGTCTCAAAACAAACATGTCACAATAGGAACTCATAGCCGAACAACTACACATCATGCCAGGCCCTTTCATTTCTTATGACATTCCACATTTGCATTGCCTTTGCGTATTGTCACATTTATCTCTACATCTTTCTCGTGAGTTAGTCGACACATCGTTTCAAACATGGAAGCGACATTATTCTCTAATCCAGTTGCTAAATCATTAGTAGAGGAACTGCCAACAGAACTTGATTCGCCCGACGTTTCACCCTCTTTCACCCACTCCCAAAAATTGCATTTTTTGCTACAACAGTTGAACAATTTTCCTTTGTTGTTCGTGTTCTTCACCATCGCAAAAAACTTACATACGCAGCTTTACACCACATGCAACGGACCTTATTTTCACAATCCGCAAAAAAGTGACCGCTTCGTCTACAACCATGACAGACTCCATCATTCGGTCCTGCCATTAGAAGCTGCAAAAACCTCTACATTACACATGGTGCAACAATTCAAGAAATGGCATTTTCCTAATATTGCAATCAGCCAATCACTTGTTTCGGAATATGCTTTGTAGAAAAATTTACTCCAAATTTTGGTTCTGCTGACTCTGTGCTTGATGCTCGTAGTTTTGGTGATTCTTCATTTTTTGCTACAACAGTTGAACAATTTACCTTTGTTGTTCGTGTTCTTCACCATCGCAAAAAACTTACATACGCAGCTTTACACCACATGCAACGGACCTTATTTTCACAATCCGCAAAAAAGTGACCGCTTCGTTTACAACCATGACAGACTCCATCATTCGGTCCTGCCATTAGAAGCTGCAAAAACCTCTACATTACACATGGTGCAACAATTCAAGAAATGGCATTTTCCTAATATTGCAATCAGCCAATCACTTGTTTCGGAATATGCTTTGTAGAAAAATTTACTCCAAATTTTGGTTCTGCTGACTCTGTGCTTGATGCTCGTAGTTTTGGTGATTTCTTGGCTGATGCTGGTAATTTTTGTTCCGAATGAATCGATTTTGGAAAGTCAAAGGGATGATACACTAATGTGAACGAAATTAACAAATACAATGATAATCCATTCAATTGCATTTCAAGTTACAAAAGTTGATAATTCATTGAAAAATCTAGAATTTGGGAACGAGCTAAATTCACTGCACGTAAGAGTGTTGAGGCAAAGAGAGAAATCTACATGATTTAGAGAATCCTAATTTTGAAAAAATTTCTGGGTTCTTAAGAAGAACACAAATATAATCATTAACCAAATTTTGGGCAGATAAACAGCTTCACAATTACACAAACTTGGCCGAAAATCAATATCTTCGAGTTACCCATGTAAATCACGTATGAAGCTCACCTGATTTTTGGTGCAAATTCGCCAGAGAAAACTGTGGTTGTAGGAGAAATTAACAAATACAATGATAATCCATTCAATTGCATTTCAAGTTACAAAAGTTGATAATTCATTGAAAAATCCAGAATTTGGGAACGAGCTAAATTCACTGCACGTAAGAGTGTTGAGGCAAAGAGAGAAATCTACATGATTTAGAGAATCCTAATTTTGAAAAAATTTATGGGTTCTTAAGAAGAACACAAATATAATCATTAACCAAATTTTGGGCAGATAAACAGCTTCACAATTACACAAACTTGGCCGAAAATCAATATCTTCGAGTTACCCATGTAAATCACGTATGAAGCTCACCTGATTTTTGGTGCAAATTCGCCAGAGAAAACTGTGGTTGTAGGGATTCGAACGAACGCCTTCACAATACATTGACCGAACGGCTTCGATTTCGTCGAAGGTCTACATTTAAACGTTCACGATGGGGGAGATGGATGAAGTCGGAGCGGAGAGATGGCGGAGTAGATCGCCTTCGATCGGTATCGCCTTTTTCGCCTTTGTTACGGGTTTCTGAGGTTGGGGATTGTGGAGACTGGGAATGAGTTTTGGGCCGAGTCGACTTCAAATTTACTTCTAATTTTTGGTTCCGTTTTTTTTTTTAAATTTCCACCTCATTCTGTCAAGGTCTTCTATACGAATAGCGCGACCGTTATCATCAACCCTCAACTTTAAGATGTAGCCTCCCAGAATAGTACTATTAGAGCATCTACAACGCATTCTATGAATTGTCAAGTGCCATGTAAGTTGAAAATTACTTTTGGTTTACGTAATAAATGAATAGACATTTAGGTTCAAAAATATTCTCTAGAGAATTTTATCTAAAATTCAATAATATTGTATGATCTTAAAATTTAAAAAGAAAAATTCACATCTAAATTTACATGGAAAAGGGAAATATACTGAGTTAGCATGTCTAGCAGAGTTTTCAAATCTAGAATGGACTTCAGATCATGTTTTCTTTATCTCTTTAGCCATCAGCCTGATGATATTCTCCCATTTTTTTGCTTGTGGAAGTTTTTCTCGATCCACAATTGCATTTGATATGCTCTTATAGCATATTTTTGATTTGCTGGTACTGAATTATAGTAAAAAATACGTTAGCATTTTGTTCATCTTTGTCCAATCATTACTATTGCCTATCAAACACGCACTTGTGGGCATGAAAGTGCCGGACAAGAATAAAGAAATATAATTAGATTTTATTTATAAAAGTAAATAAGGTTTTTAATATTGTTATAATACATGCACGGGTGGGGAGTTAAGAATTCAATAAGTTCAAAATTCACATTTAAAATGTGCATGGATACAAGTTATGCCTTGGAATGAAATACATATTTGAAAAAGAGATAAAAAATCTCCATCAAGAATCTAAATGTTAAAAAATATCGAGTGATCACGTTTTTTATGTTGAGTTCTTTCACGTGTCCGACCATGCCTATCCATATGAAGGGCTTTGGATGGTAGTAACTTAGTTCCTATTTGATAGAGATTAAATTTTAATCCAAGTGAAAAAACGACGATTAATGTTAAAAACATCTTAACACAATTTTTCAATTGTACATTTCATCAATTTTCATCAAAATCTGCTTAAAATCTAATTTTAATTCCCACAAAACATGAGCTTAATCTATCTTACACCCCTAAACATGACAAAAGCCCCATTTGGTAGTCATTTTCTTCAAAATGCATTTTTCTCTCTTCTTTTCAACTCCACATTTTTTATTAAAATAATATTACGCGTAAATCAAAAAAAATTCTTTATTTTTCAACCACACATTTCACATCAATTTAGTATTCTAAAATGCATTTTTACATAAAAATGCTTATGAAACAACCCCTAAGGGTAGTTGGCATAAAGCATAAGAGAAAGGCTTCAAGTCTTTGATGAGGGAGATCATACAGCATTCATCAAGCGTCACGCACCAAATAAATTCTCGAAAAGTTATGAATGAAATGAATTTAGAAGCATATGTTTTCAAATTTCTACATTGAAGATAGATTCAAAACTAGAACAAGAGTCTTCACATCTAATAACATAGAAAGTAAATTCTATACAATTCAAAGTTTATGTTGTCAACTCTCTAAGCCAAAACACTGAAATCATTCTGCCGGGCAACCTCCTCGCTGCTACTGAGGGTCGACTGGGGCATGACATCGACAGTAGGATGGGAACCAGGCGGCATATTTTGATCTGAGCCATGAGAAAGCTTGCATTCGTCAACCCTATCTGTTATGTCACAATCAACGTCGTCAGTTACATCACAAAGCTGTCCTCCATTAACTTCTCGAGCAATAGGAGATAACTCACTGTGGTCACCTGCATTGGCCGGAATGGATAGATGTTGATGATTATTGACATCACCATCTACATGATATAGATGTGTATTATCATCATCATATAACTGGGAAGGGACGTTCATATTAACTGCATAATACTGCTCAGGATCATCTTTTCGTTTTCGCTTACCTATTTCCCTCCTCCTAACCCTTTCCTTCCCTCTTATCCTTTTTCCGACATCATTTTGTGGATCCGCTATAACATCTGTTGAACTTCTGGCATGGTCCCTCAAACATTCATGTGCAATATACCTGATTCTCGTCACCGACTGAATCTGTAGATCGTCCATCCCATGAGTCGAGAGGTTATCTGCTAGATGTGCAACGTCCCTCAATGCAGCATTCTGTAATGTAAACAAAAATGAAGGGGAAAAATGTGATGAACTACAATGAAGAAAACACGAGAATGAAAGATATGTCAGTCAACCTATTAGTTGTTTAAAACATAACATAAAGGCTTACCATTCTCTGAAATTCTGATGAGATAGGTACGGGTCTGCCTACCAACTTGCGCGTAATTTTCAAGTACCAATGCTTGTATTCATTTTCATCCAGATCTTCTTCAGCCTCCACAATATGAAAGCGACGATATGACCATTCATTAAGTTCTGATTCCATTTTCCCAGAGAGATCTACTCCACCATCAACCCCACGGGTCTTCCTTTCCCATCTCTGCACTTCTTCTGGGATAGTTTGATGCATGCCAAACTGCCTTAGGCAACGATCTGGAAGGTGTCTTTCTGCCTTGTCAAAACAAATCAACATTGTCTTTGATCTTCCAAGAATGAGTTGATTTAAAATGAATTCTGGTATAACAGTGTGACTGATATTTGCGTAAGGACACCAGTCGACCTGGATATCAAAAAGGCACCAAATCTGTCATTTTGGCTCAAAGAGAAAGAAACAACTGGAAGTTTGGACCCAAATAATACTTCAACTTACATCAGAAGATTGTAGTGAATCCAAAGCTTTACGATAGAAGGAAACATCACGATTTGATGTTGGACTGCTATGTTTCCCTTTCCACCTAAGGACAAATGGAAAACATTCATGGATTGGGTCGTGATGAAGTTTGGGTCGACCGATGTTCAGGTGATAGTAACTCCAGCACTAAATAAAAGAAAGCACTATTCAAAAGTAAAATTTAAACAAAGTATCTTCAGGATATAAAAACAAATAACGGGCTACCAAAGCCTTGGTATTTCTTCAATATATGAAATACTATTGATGCAAGTTAAGCCAGGTTAAGTTCACCTGTAGCAGCGTTAAACAGCCACTTATTGTGCTTTGAGATCTGAGGGAGGCATTACCGAGTGCTCTGTACAAGAAGGATAATGCTGCTGCACCCCATGCATGCTTACCAGCTTCATTGAAATTCTCAAACAATGGAAGATACATGACAGGAACTTTATTACCAGTAGTGGTGGAAAAAATTGTACTGCCAACAAGGTATAGAAGGTAAGCACGAGTATGGCACTCAACATCTTCCATTGAGGCGTTCTCGGGACACTGGGAGAAAGTCTCTTTCAGCCAACTAAGCTTCACCATTCCACCACTCGCATACCCAGAATCTGGTAATTTCCCCAGATACTTGATACATAGTGCATCACATGCCGTATATGTTACACCAATAACAGGTTCACCATCAATTGGAAGCCCAAGCAAGTAAGCAACGTCTTCCAGAGTCACTGTCATTTCCCCAACAGTCATATGAAATGTGTTTGTTTCTCTCCTCCATCTCTCAACTAGAGCAGATATAAGCGGGTTATCAAGACTGATTGCTGGTATTAATCTCAAATAGCCAAATCCAGCTTTCTTGACTAATTCGATTTGTTTTTCAGTAAGCATCCACCGGTCAAGCTTTGAAGTATGTTCATGACATCTAAGTGCTCCCCGCTCCTGTTAATATCCAATTACAAAATGCAAGTTACAAAAGTTTTACAAGCAAAATAAGAGAGGAGAAATTATTTCATAGTGACACCTGTCCCTCCCAAACTGCAGCTGAGACGTGCTTATCTTGATCATACAAAACAGATTCATCAACTGGTCCAGGGCTGGTTTCATAGAAGTCCATTGAATTACTGTGAATTACATCTGTCCAAAATGCAAAAAGGCAAATCAAGTGAGGTGTCGGCAAATAATCATATCGACTTATTTAACAGTTCACTGCAGTAATAATCAAAAGGCAAATACATAAATTCCCAGTTGTGATAACTCTTGGATCTCTTGAATGAAACTATTAGAAGCATAGTGTCCAGTTATGATTTAATATAGTACATTGCTCATATTCAAAAAGAGAACTATTGGATAAACGCAAAAGTTGAAGAAGATACCTCATCAATTGTCCAGAGGAGAAAGCCAAATACACACAGCAATATTGAACCCAAAAACAATACAATAACATAACTTTGAGATCCCATTTGATAGGAAAGGTGTCCTAATGAAACAGAACAGAGCTTTATTACGTAGTATAGTAAGAAGCAATTTTATTCCATATAATAGGATCAATGTGATAGAATTATCATGTTGGATTACTATTTTGTAGCATTTATCATATCTGGATCATTATCATGTTTGGATGACTCAATATTAGAGTCAAAAGAAATTAAAACAATCTTTGTCTTGTTGAAAGAATCCCCCCTCAACCAAAAATAGACAGAATTCACACCGAAGATCTTTGCCGATCGACCAATTCCTATAATTTTCTTAGGACGTGCTATTATCTTTTCCATCTCTGGATCTTAAGTACCGTTCAGAACATTTAAAATATTTGGTCTCTATGAGCTAGGAAATTTTCCTCTGCAGTAAACTTTATCTAAGGCCTTGAAAATAATGTTCAAATCTGTCCATGGTGAGCAGGAAATGCATGTGTAATTAAGACATTGACTACCATCATGATCAGTCTAAGCCACCATTTGTCAAATCTCAGTTTCAAGCTATTAGTTCTTTTGAGAACTATATGTGGTTTTGCGAAGAAAAAAAGGATGTGAAGCATATAGGAGATTCTAATCAACATTGCTAAAATGATGGCTGTAGGGCGAAACCATTTGCAAGATAGGGAGGAAAAATATATACAAAATATAAGAAGAACATTAGCAAATACATAAAAGGTAGAGGCTTGATAAAGTAATCAAAATAAAACAACTAAATTTGGATTTATATTCCCCGAATTAAGTTAAAACAGACTAAAGTTGCCATATTGAAAGTTGAGATTTCTTTCCTATTCCTTAATCTATTTGCAACCAAAATTTCCATAGCTTGAAGTGGTTGCAAAAGATTGAATTGCTTTGGGTGATTGGATCTTCCTATAGATTCAGCTATGTCCCAAAAAGGGGCGAGAAAAGTCTTCATGTAGCCAACTCCTAATTCTTGAAAGTGAGGGTAGGGCTAAGTTGATTTCATTATCTTAAACAGGCTCCACATGGAGAAATGATTATAAGTATCAGCTTTTTATTTTTGAGTGAATTCCTTGCCAAACAAACAGCCCCTAAAGGCTAACTCCATCCATGCTACAAAAGTCATTCCTTTAAATTGGAATTATCATGCCAGAAAGTACCCATTAGTTTGACTGACGTAAATACCTCTTTATCATTGATATGAGATAGTGCGACACTAAAACTGAATTAAAGGGAACCCACATTTAAAGACAGGCTAGGTAATTAAAATTCTAAGCTAAACTTCTTTCTCCGTTATGAAAGTTCCTTTAAGGTTGCAATTTATCCTTCATAGTGGCTAGTAAAAGGGATCATTGTTCCCTACTCTAATTTCCTCTCGAAAACTAAATGAGATTCTGTAGTGTTGGTACATGAATTTCTAGATATTTCTTACCATTACCACTTCAACCGAGAAAGACAATCTAAATTGCTCCTGTTAGCCCCATTGGACCCATTCCTCCATCCATGTTAGAGAACTTCCTCTTTTTTCGTCGCCTTGTTTGACCATTATTCTTTAGCGACCTTAAGACAAATCTTTTACATTTTCATGAACAAGCATGATATCAGCTCCACAAGATAATTTGTGAAGTCCACATTTTCAAAGATATTAGAAAACCTGACAAAAGAAAAATCCAATAAAATGTCCAGAACTCCCATCGCACAAAGGAATGGAATAAACCTAGCCAGCAAAAACCTCCCTTTCCCACCACCATGGTAAATCATGTGTTTTTACCTCCTTTTTGCTGCTTTAACTCACTCCAAGCTAAAAAAGACGCTGAACAGCAAGAATGCCCCCACATGTAAGCACAATTCTCCTATGTTGAAAAAGACTTAATACAGAAACGATTAGAGAAGTAAAAGAAACTGACTTCACATACGTAGATAATTGCCAGCCCTCAGCAAATTTCAAGTTGATATTAGGAACACAACTCAGATCGCAGTTAAAAACAATCCCTTTGACAATCGGATGACACCTTGGATTATTGCATAAATGATACCTTGCTACAGAAAGAAATGTTAAAACCTAATAGTAATTGTTTTCAATTTGGATAGGCCAACACAATCCTATAGAAACAAATGAGAAGCCCCTACCTCAAAGGCTCAAACCTATCTCCGCCCTAATTCACACAAATCACGTGTCTTGGCAAAAATGCTAAATGCACTTTCCATGTTTATACCCACCCATAAAAGTACAATCTTTGACGTGGTAGGAAAATAAAAAATAAACTTTTGAATCAAACCCAGGAAACCAAAATTACCTTTCAATGAAATTTCATAGCTCTCAAATAGTAGAATTGTTTCCATCGAACCGCTTACTAGGATCCCAACAACCACAAAGCTTCACTACCCCTCATATGTACAGAAAAACCATTGTTTATCACCCAACCATATAGCAAATGCAAGTTGACTTTTGCATCCATGAAGTGTTAAAATCATTCATAGTAAATGCAGCTTTTAACTTGCACATTTTCCTTGACCTAAGATATTTCAGAACTAAATGAATCTAATTTGTACTCCAAATCTCAATACATCAACTAACCTGTCAAGCATTCTTAGGCCATGAAGTGGGGTGGATCAATCTAGATATTTAAATACCCAGAACCAGCCATTACTTCGGGTATTTTGTAAACGTAACCATTCAGGTTCACATAATTATTAGAATCTAACCCAAGCCCAAATCATCGGTTCCGGTTCCGATCTAATCATAACATTATTTTTTTAAAAACCGTGTGTTTACAATACAAATTATCTTCCTGTCACAAAATAACATCCAATATCTAAAGTAATAGCATCCAATTTCGACTTTGACTTTGCGTGATGCCTCAAGAAGGGTTTGTGTGGCGGGCAGCACGTAACGTGCGTTGAGAGTGGCTACAAACTAGAGTGTTATTATTCAATTGTTTAAATGCACAAATCCTATTGATTAGGGTACTTACTATTTGGACTAGGCAAATTTGCTACTTGTTGTGTTGGGTTATTGGGTTAGGATGAATAAATTGTAAAAAATAAAAAAAAAATTATAAAAAAAGGGTAAATTTGTTTCCAAAATTGGGTACCACGATTTCGATTCAAGAAACAAGAACCGTTCGAGACCTAGTCTATTTTCGATTTCAGTTCCTAATTTCTTTTTATTTTTATGGGACCGGATCAGAACTTCTGATTAAAATGCCCACCCATAAGCATTCTTGAAAAACTCCAATATCTAAAGTAATAGCATCCAATTTCGACTTTGACTTTGCGTGATGCCTCAAGAAGGGTTTGTGTGGCGGGCAGCACGTAACGTGCGTTGAGAGTGGCTACAAACTAGAGTGTTATTATTCAATTGTTTAAATGCACAAATCCTATTGATTAGGGTACTTACTATTTGGACTAGGCAAATTTGCTACTTGTTGTGTTGGGTTATTGGGTTAGGATGAATAAATTGTAAAAAATAAAAAAAAAAATTATAAAAAAAGGGTAAATTTGTTTCCAAAATTGGGTACCACGATTTCGATTCAAGAAACAAGAACCGTTCGAGACCTAGTCTATTTTCGATTTCAGTTCCTAATTTCTTTTTATTTTTATGGGACCGGATCAGAACTTCTGATTAAAATGCCCACCCATAAGCATTCTTGAAAAACTCTACAATGGTCCATTCATCTCTTATCATTTCCATGGAGAATGGAGAGCATAATCAAAGATATTATGAATTCAATATTGGGAAACAAACTCAAGAATAGAGAGTATAGCCAAAGAATATTTCAATCAGATATCGAGAATCAAAGTCAGATAACAGTGGGAAAAAAAAAAAAAAAACCATCACGCTACACAAGTCATTCCTTTGAAAGGGAATGACGAAGGGCAAAGTACCCATTAAGTTAGGTTGAAGAAGATAATTCTCAATCATTGATGCGAGAAAAAATGCCACAGAACTCAAATTAAAGGGAATCCATATTTAAAGGTAGGCATGGTAAATTCTAGGCAAAACTTCTTCCTATGAAATTTTCATAGTCTTCGTAGATGAGGTCATATAAATTTCTTTTCACTACCATTTAAATGGAGAAAGGCAACTATATTGCTCCTGTTTGCTCCATTCCTTCATCCATGATAGACAAATTCCTATTCTTTAGCGATCCCGGCTTTCAAAAACCACCTTTGGGCGAGCAAGCTTAGTATTAGCTCCACAAGGTAATTTGTGAACAGATACTAGAAATCTCGAACATTGAAGAAGTCCAATAATTCCCAGAATCTCCCAATCACACAAAAGGATTAAACTTATATAGCCAGCAACAACCTACCCTTCACACTATCCTACTAAATCCTGTGTTCCAACATATCTTTTGCTGCTTTCACTAACTCAAAAAGAGGTTGGCAGTAACGAGTAAGCAAGTTTTTCTCCAAATTACTCTTACGTTGAAAAATACTAAGAACAAGTTTGTATGTGCTTCTTCTAAAAAGGAAGAACCACTAGAAGCAGAACAAACAAACTTCACATAGAAAAATATCTGTCATCCTTTTATCGCTCATCATTTCCTTGTCGGGTATAACAATGAAAATTACAAGTTGATGACAAGGAATCACTCAGATCACAGTAAAAATCAATCCCTTTCAAAAAAAGGTTAAAAAAAATGGGCAGATTTCACCTTTTACTATTTATTTAAAAGATAACTTGCCACAGAAAGAAATGTTAATACACCTAACAGTAATTTTTCTTAATTTGGATGAAACAAATGCAGTCATATACTAACAAACTAGATACCTCTGAAACCTTAACCTATCTCCATCCCAATTTATGCAATTCACATTTCAACAAATTATGAAATGCATTTCCCATGTTTATACCCACCTGTAAATTATAT